AACATTAAGCACTCATGGAAGACTTTTAAGAGTGAGTGATTATTACATATGTTGGTTGACCTTCATTTTTATTAATCTTAAGAAAAATTTGTGATGATTTTTAAAAATATTCCAAATTTATGCTATGAGTATATCTCAGGGGTAGAGTGCTTGCATAGCTTGCCAAGCATTGCACACTCAAAAATTGTCCAAAAATTCATATTTTTCTCTCATTGATGAACATAATATTGGAAGATTTTCCTGAGATATTTCTTTATTTCTGTATCAGAAAACAATACCTTAAGTAAAAGATAAGATTCCATATCCAATTGGTGTGTTTATTCATTATTTCTATACATTACAAAATTCTTACAATTGTGGGTTTTAAAGGAAAATATTTTGTGTGTGTATGTGTGTGTGTGTGTGTGTGTGTGTGTGTGTTGTGGCAAGTCATTGATATGTTAGGATCAAATTTGAACACCATATTTATGAAGATTTCCCTTTCTGAAGAGTTTTTTAGTGTTAAACATGAGTCTTAAGTCAACAATTGTTGGGCATATTTAGGAATTACAATGCCAATACATATCATATTCAAAAGCTGAAAATTCAAATGTTTCAAGTTGAGAGATATTGACATATTTGTGGAAGGGGCCTAAGTCAACCATATGGGTACATTTGACTTGAGAGTATTACTTTAAGAAATATGCCAATTATAACTTAATGTATTTTTTGAATAGTGAATAATATGGTCAAGAGTTATCAAAGAATGAAAATCTTAATGAAAACCTTTATTTTAATCAGTTGGAGTCACCAATTCTCCCCACATTTACTCCTAATATTGTAGTTTTAAAAGCTTTAAACAAATCAAACTATTCAAGAGAGTGAGTATATTCTTAAGATACACTAAATAGTGAGTATGTCACCTATTAGAAATGGTCTCTTAGGGTTGGAGTTGGAACTCAGTGACAGAATGCATGTTTAGCATGAAAAGAGCCCTGGGAGTTCAGTCCCCAGCACTGCAAAAGAAAGAAAATATTTTTCTGTCTCACCATTCTTTTCTTCAAAAAGTATAAGGGAAAAATCTCCTTCCATATGGCAGCTGCTTGACATTGAATCTCTCCACACATCCTTCATGAAAGTGTACAAGGAGAATAAATAAAGCTACCCATGGAACACACGTACAGTATTTACAGGAGACAGAATTCTGCCAACTCCTATGTACATGTAAATGCAAAAGTAAATATCCAATCCAACCAAGCTATTGCCCAGGTTAAAAGAGACATTGCACAGAAAAGATGAGAAGGCAATGGGGACAAATAGAGAACACAGATAAAATTATCAACAGTTGAACTTTCTCAACTCTGAGGAGGGAAATAGTTAAAACAAGCAAGAGATTTGTCAGACAAAATGAACCAAACAATTAAAAGTCACACTTATGGACTGAAAAGTCATTTGCAATAAATGAGAAATATTTAATGCTACTAGTGCTTATAAGCAAAGGAAACAGAAAAAAAGAAAAGGAGACCTGATATTAAGTTATGTTCTGAAAGAATATTACATATGCCTGAGAAAAAAGAAAAAATTTTCTACATTTAAAAATAGTCAGCTTCACTAGCAAACTAAGAAACATATATTTATTAAGACATTATATTTTTAATTATTAAAATTCTAAAATTTAAGGGTATGGTATTTAATATTATCAATGGTAGATTTATAAATATTACCATAAACTATAATGTAGCATATATTAAATAACTTTAAATATTCTTTATTTGGAACTGACTATTCCTTACAAATATATTCTTTGGGGAAAAAACTGGAGATTAGTTCACCGATATCTGTTGGATTTACTTAATACAATGATAGAATACAGAAAAGGTGATATAAGAAGGCAGTTGTTAAATTCCAGTAGATAAATTTGATATACAGATTTAAATGTTGGTTTAAAGATTTTTTTTTGCTTGTATTAGAAAATGATAAAAATATGCTTGGTGGAACACACAGTGTATAATCAGTAACAGTTTAACTAATCTTCCCTTATTACTCTGTTCCACTTGGGAAAAATAAACTTTTGGTTTATCAAACCTATTAGGCAACAGTGACGTCCTTTATGTGGAGTCACACAACAATTTGCACAACTACATGAAAGCACATTTTCAAAGTTTTTTTGTTTGTTTCAGTCTTTCAAAATCCATTGCACTATGATGAAAATAAATATTTTTTTTGAAATGACTGTAGGTGAGTTTTTAATACATGTGAGAAATTAGATACAACAGATTTACAAATTTCACACTTTTTAAATTAGGAGTTTTCTGAAGTAAGCTTAATTCTCCTAACTTTTTTTTTTTTTAATTCTCCTAACTTTAATAATGTAAAAGATTTCAAGAATTTGCCCAAAAAGGCCAAGATTGAAATAATGAGAATGTAACTATTCTCTAATTTAAGTTTAAAACAGTATGTAAGGCCTTTTATTAATACCTTTACCAAGGCATTACATTACCAAGGTATTTGAGGAAAATTTATTTAACAACACGTGTTTAAAAAGACTCTTCTTTAGAGCTGACATTAGAAGAACAATTATAATAATTATTTAGTCACTTAAAATGATTTGCAAGTGCTAGATTTGATGGTGCATGACAGACACTGCGTGGTTTAATGCCACAGTGAACTTGCTCCTCACCATTGCATAAGGAGCATCACTTCACACTGAAACTAGGTGGGGACCTTTGTAATTCACATTCAGTAACCTGAGTTGAAAATCCAGCTGACATTATGCTGGATCCAATCTACAAGGCACTGCACCAGAAAGGGCAACTTCACAGGGTCTCCTACAGTGACCATGTAAATATCTCCGGGATCATGCTTGTCTTCCAACACAGCAGATTTTGTTTGTGGAAATTCATTGTACATTGCTAGAGTTAAAATCCTATTACAAAACGGAGTTCAGACAACAGTAGATTTGAAGGGAAAAGGAAAATATCTTATTTCAAAGAAAAACTACCATCCAAATGTAAATATTCAAGAAAGAGCTTACCAGAGTAAAAGTGCCAGCATTCATAATTTTACTTAAAACGTTAAGAATCTGTGGTGGCCAAAAACCAATTCAAAATATACTTTAAATCTTCCTTCTGTTCACCTTCAGTGACCCCCTTGATGAAGCTGAAGGAATTAAGCTATTCAGAAATTGTATAAAACAGAGGAAGTATGAAGATATTATGATCTTTAATAAGATAATAAATAATGTCAATTTGAAATAGATGTGAAATTAATTACAAAATGATTACACATGCTTACGACAGTGTACTTCTGCCTATGCATAACAGTTGCCTATTTTGTTGTTGTTTATGTATGAGACCTCTAGTCTTTGAACTTTTATTATACCAGTTGGGTTTAAATTTACACTGAATTTTTGATAAATTATATAAAAGTAAAATGATGAAATTTTCTTTCTTCAATAGAAAGGGAGAAGGCTATCTCTTCCCTTCCTTTATAGTATTTCCTTGAAAATACTGCGTGATAAGAAACATAAATTTTTGATCTTATAATCTTACAGTGTAAGGTTAAGGACATATGACCTTTGGAACTATGAACACATACCTCCAAAAATGAACTCAAGAATCTCTTATAAGGTGCACAAGATTCTATAAAGCACACCCATCTGTATTTTGGAAATGTTTTATTTGTTTCTTCTACTTTTGATGTATATATTTGCATAAAATTCTGTTCAAACTTCTTTTTCTCAAGAATACTATCCATGTGTATGTATTTTGGTCAATGATGAATTATGTTTCATTTCTCTTACTGATATGGAACAGGCATTGAGTCTTCAGGGTTTTTAATGTACTCAGCAATTATTGGCAGGAATTTTTTATTTTGCTTTTCTACTTAAGATATATTGTATATGTGATAAAACTTTTAGAATAAATTTCAAGCAAAAAAAATTGGACTTACGAATTATTGAACAAATATTAGTAAAAACAATTGTATGATTTAACCAAAATAAGAGAATAAGGAAATATTTTATTGCTATTAAACTGTAACCAAAGCAGGTATAAGCAAAACTTATATGGTCAAAGACAAACGATTCTTAATGCTTGGATTTTTTTTTCATAGTTTAATCATCATTTATAGTTTAACTCTTAGGATGTTGGATAATTTTTGAGGGAGAAATATGAGATAAAGTTTGTATTATCCACTCCATTTTACCAGTCATTTCTCAACTAGACATAAGGGATGTGACAGATGTCAAATTTCTCTCTTTGCTCTGAGGATTTCCTAAATATCAAAGTAAGTAGGCATAGATACATAATATGTGCATAGAAGAAAATAACGTACTTCAGTGAAAAACTGCATTATTTAAAACACACCTTTCTGATATACTGATTCTGATTCTATGGGAGCTCTCAGCTTTTCGTTGCCTTTTACCTATTTTACAATTTGGCAAGTTGTAAGAAAACCAATAGCAATGAAAAATAAGCCTAGTCTCAAGCTAGGCAAATAAATTCCATTAGGAAAAAATTCGATTGATTTCCCTCTTACATTGTAGAATAATAATAATAATAAATGTATCTGTTCATTTGATTTTTTCTTTGACCCAATTGTAATATCTGCCTGGTTTACTCATTATTAATGCATTAAGCAAAATTTGCCACATTTATCTAATGTCTGCACAAGAGTGATTTTACCATGTTAAAAATTATCTCTTAATACTAATGAGAAAGAAGGAGACAAAAAGAAATAAAAAGATGGGTGGATATTTAGATGGTTACCGAAGTAGCTCATTAACCTTCTAGAAAATTAATATCTGAAAATTAGTTACACACATACCTAGACTTGAGTTATAGTTGTTACTGTTATGATTACTCATTGACATCTCTCCTTCACTAGTATCCATCTTTTGAACACTAAACAATACTCATATTTCATATTGAACACAACAGAGAGATAGAAGCAGAGAAAGGAAGAAAAAAAATAAAAACATGCAATAGAATAACACATTAGCCTGTCTCCTTTATTCTTACCCGACTCTCTAATCGTGCTTTCATTGTTCCATATTTCTCTGACTCCCATCGTGATTCTTACTTGACAACAGCAACTTGTACTAAAGGTATGGAAAGAAAATGAGAGATAACATAAATATTTCTTTATTTGTAATAGAATCTTCACTTTTTGCTCTGCTTTACTAAATAACTATATAACATTTGACTTTTCTTTTTTTAAGTGATTAAGATAAATTCTGTTTTATTTTTTCAAGTTTTATTGAAGTATAATTGACAAACAATGCTACGTATGGTTAAAGGGTACAATGAGATGATAAAGTATCTAGGTGGAAAAATTACCACAGTCAAGTTAGTTAACACATCTGTCATCTCACCAACTATAGTGGAACAGTTATGGTGACAACATTTAAGATTAAAATTACTTTAACAGTAAAATGTTAGAAAAGAGAAAGTGCAATGGTCTCATTTTTTAAATATTCCCTTTATATGTATGCCTGCCTATTTAAATATGTTTAATCATTCAGGATAGCCCTCAATGTCATTTTAATCCATGTAGATTATCACTCCATATGCCCCTTAATCCCTACTGAATTTAGATCCATTTATATAAACTCATACATGAACGGTAGGTACTCTATGGATTTTAGCTAGGTCTGCTCTCATTGAATTATTTTAGAGGTTCTCTTTCTACATTAATAGCTCAGGGAGAAAATTACTTCATGTCTATCATAAATTAATTTAAATTTTTTGAATGTAAGATTTTTCCATATGGGAGAATCCCCCACAGAAATATCATAGAGCCACTATTCAACCACCAGAATAGCTAAAATTAAAAATACTAACAACCCCAAGTGTTGCTAAGGATATAAAACAAATGTAATCTTATGTATTAATGATGAATATATAGAATAGTTGAGCCAAATGGAAAAAGATTTTAGGATTTCCTTATAAAATTATGTATATACTTCCCCTCTGACCTCTGACCTCTGCAGTTCTAGTCCTATATATTAATACAAGAGAGCACCACCAACAACAAAAATCCTGCGTGTGTATGTTAATGTATAAGAATATATACACTTAGGGGAATATATTTATACTCACCTCTATGTATAGATTGACCAAATGAATTGTACAAGAATGTTCATAGTAGCTTTGATCATAAAAGACAAAAGTGAAAAAAAAATGTTCTGACATTTATCAAAAAGGAAATTGATAGCTACACACATAAATTACAAGTATATGCAATAACAAGGATGAAATATCAAGACATTATTCTAAATGATATAAATGTTGACTATAAAGTCATTATATGATGCCATTTACATGTCTGAAGAACAGTCAAAACCTCTCTTAGGTGATGATAGTAGATGCTGCGTAGTGGAGATTAAGGGCATGACAGAATTTTCTGGAGTGACTGAAATTTCTACATCTTGATATAATTTGGGGTTACAAAAAGTTTACATTTTTGGAAGTACTCATTGTCACTCTTAAGTTTCATGTGTTTTACTGTATACACATTCTATCTAAATACAATTTTAATCAAAGATTGACCCCTAATGATGTTCATGACAGAAAGGTATACTGATGTGTGCAATTTACTTCAAATTCATAAAACAACATAGATTTCTTTATGAAGAAAAAAATATATGGATGTATAATATGGTAAGAATAAACCTAAGCTCTGGATATTTGAGTGTTTATTATGCAATTCTTGCAACATTTTTTAATGTCCTTGAACATTTTATAATGAAAAATATAATAATATAGAGATGTCTATAATACAAACAGTCAAAAAATCAATTATAACTATCATTATTTTGATTATTTGTTGGGTGGGCAATCAAGGTAAGATTTTGATATAATGCAAAAGAAGCATTTGTGTTGATTTTGTCCCATGGTTTATTTTACCTTTTTATTCTTTTCCTTAAGTTTAGTACATCTCTCAATTGTTGGGTAACTAAGTATGGCAATACTACTCAGTTTAGACTAATGAAATGGAAATTGAAATAGAAAGTGTCACTTTGGTCTTGTAATCCCAATGAAATGTACTCATTCCTCTGGCTTCTTTTTCTCATTTCTTTGAGCTGGAATGCAGATGTCCCAGTGACCCACTTTCAACCATGCAGACTCACACAGGAACACAGAGAAGAGGCTTGCAGACAATGGCCAGAAATCTAAAGACCTGGTGCCTGTTTTACAAAGTAAGTGTCACTGATACACAGACAGAAACGTTCTTTTATGTATTGTCAATGACTACTTTCATACTACAATGGCAGAATTACATAGTTGAATCAGATATAGCATGGTCCTGAAACCTAAAAGATTTCCTATTAAGTCCTTCACTTAAAAAAAAATTGACCCCCATCTTTCATTGTAAAACAAGTAGATGGATGAATTCAGGATGAATTCAGGGTCCCTGAATGGGCCCTAGGAAGCACTGTGGCACCAGGTTAGTCTGATCAGATTATTTTTAAAGAAAATAATAAACTTTGGTCTATTTAGCTGTTGTTATTTACCTTTTTTGGTGTTATTGCTACTCTATTTTGTTGTTGTATGTGAAATCATTATTATAATAGGTGCAACTAATATTTTTACATGTTTTAAAATAGACTTACAGCATTTTGTTTTTTCAGTGTCATTCGTCTTCTTCTCAGTACATAAAATAATTTTATGATCTTTCTATTAAAACATAAAAAAGCAACTTCTTGCTCCCAGAAAGTACAATTTCCTAGTATTTGGCATTTGGAAGATGAAGAAAAGTGTCTGACTGTCCAGATCACATTGGCTTTTAGCTTTTCAAAGAAAACAATATTGAATCTCTTTTCCATGATTCCAGAATATATTCCTTCCCATTCTATTTGTAAAATAGGCTTCATCAGTGATTATAAATGCATTGGCCTAGGTGTCCTAAGGAGGTACAAGTAATGACTCTTACAAGCTTCTCAGAATGCATTTTTAGCCTCCTCTTTTACACAAGAACCACAGCAATAATTCTGCCTACAGAAAAATCTGTTCCTTGTGCTTAAAGTTTGTTTTAACAGATATAAACACTGCTATAAGTAGAGACAAGATGTCCTACCCGAGAAATCTCTCAACTTAGAATCTGAACATTTGTAATTGAAAACTAGACCCAGCATTTATGCCAGGGACTTACCTCACTTTTCTCTGGCTTCAAATCTCTATGTACATAAGAAGAAGTCAAGTTCCTACATGACCTCCAAGGATTCTTCCATCTTTAAAATCTCCAGCACACAGAATCACCAAAGTCCAGTGGATAAAAGCCACATGTCATCATTTACTACCATACCTCTATATGTTATGGAATTTTACTCTATATATTTTCCACAGTTTCTTATGAGAAAACTTGCCCAACATGTTTGGAAGCCTAAGAACTATTCTGTGTTTACCACCAGGTTTAATTCATCTTCCTACCCACATCTTTTTCTTTCTATGCCAATCAGTAGTGAGTGGACCATCATAAAACCTCAATAAGTATTTATTCCAATCTGGTACTCTCAACTGTATTATCAATACATCAACAGTCATCCTTTAAAAATATAAAATTAGATCATATCCTTTCTTCCTCATAAATTTTCAATTTAGAATATAAACTAGTATGCTTACTCAACAACTATATTGTAGTCTACAAGGCCATAGAAAATGTGTCCCTGACTGTATGACTCTCCCACTCTTATTCATGCTCCTTCAGTCTAATCTTCTTTGTACATTGCTGCATTGGTGCTTCAAAACCAATTGTCCCCTAGAAATTCACATGACTAATTTCTCTACTTCCTTTGCAGGTTTTTTCAATATTCACCTATCCTGAACAATTTATATTAAATTTTAACTTCTCCCTGGCACCTATGCCACATCCCCAGTCCTTGTCATGCTTGTTTTTCCTCAATACCAGTATATATTATATAAACAGTAATACATTTATTTTTGTATAGTATAGTTTATTATTCATCTCTCTCCACTTGCTTCATGAAAGTATTTTGTCACTTTCAGTTCAATCCTATCTCTCAAGCAGTTCAGAGTGTATTATGATTTGGATTTGGAATGCCCTCTGAAGGCTCATTAGTTGATGGCTTAGTCCTCAATGCAACCATGTTTAGAGGTAGGGCTTTTGGAAAGTGATTGGACCCTGAAGGCTTTAATCTTTATCAATGGACTAACCCATCAATGGATTCATGATTGAATGTACTATTGGGAGGTAATGGAAACTAGAAGTTGGGACCTAGTTAGCGAGTCCACGGGAGCATGCCCTGAAGAACTACATCTTATCCAGGTTCTGTGTCTCTGTTCCTTCTTTCCTTCCTTTTTTTCTTTCTTTCCTCCTCCCTCTCCCTCTCCCTCTCCCTGGCACCCTCCTGGCTGCCATGAGGTGAGCAGTTTTGCTCCCTCCCTCACTCCTGCCATGATATTCTGCTACACTGCAGACTCAGAAACAATGGAACCAGCTAACCATGGACTGAAACCTCTGAAATCACTAGCCAAAATTAATCTCTCCTCCTCTAAGTTGGGTTTCTCAGGTATTTTATTATAGTTATGAAAAGCTGACTAACTAATATAAAGTGCCTGAAAAAAATAAATGCCCAATAATATTTGCCAAATAAATTGAAATCTGCCACAGTCTGGCTGGGCACAATCAGGAGCCACTTGTCAAAAGAAACTAACTTTATTTTTAGAACCACACACGCCAAACAAAACAGCCTCTCAGGAAAAACCCTCAGAGCCTCAACTGCCACCACCGGCTTTCCACAAGCCTCTCTCTCCCACACAAGCTTCTCTCCACCTCCCACAATCCTCCTGCTCTTGAGGCCGATTGGCTGGGTCACGTGGGTGGAGCCAAAAAAGTCCCCCAATGAGCAGCTCCGTGGTCTGAAAGGGCAGGGAAACAGCCCAATCACTGCAGAGGAGCCAATCAGCTAGATGTTGCTGGGGCTGAGGAGCCAATCAGCTAGATGTTGCTGGGGCCCCTGTGAGCCAATCATCAGCCGGCAGCTGGAAGTTTGCTGGCAGCTGGAAGTTTGCTGGGGCCCCTTCGGCTGTGGCTCTCAACAGAAATCATAAAATATATTATTAAATCAATAAATGTCTC